CCCGCCCTTGACAATCCCCCGGCCTCCCCTACCCCCCAGTGTCTTATGTCCATTGGTTATGCTTATATGCATGCATGCAAGTCCTTTGGTTGAGAGAGGGGGGTAAGAGATCAACCGAAGGACTTGTATGCATGCATATAAGTACATTAGAGTTAAGAAGACTCGGTGACTGGAGAGGCACAGTAAGGCCTTGGCAGATATTGGACTCAGAAGGGTTATAACTTACATATGCAAATAGTTCATTCTTAGGATTTCAAAACTGTTGGGAGCCGCTCGTTTAAAAGTATACGAAACGGAGGGCTCTGCTCGGGATTCTGCGTGCGGCTGCCTTCACTCCAGCGGACGGGGGGAAACAACCGCTGCTGTCATGCTCTGTTCCTGCTTTTAAGTAGCTTTCGTACAAATGCACTAGTCAGTTTGCCAGTAAAACACTGGGACGTGGGCGGGAAACCCCGGGAAACTCGCTCACCTCCTTCCCAGCAGACCGTGGCTTCCCCTTCCCCCGCCCCTTTCCGTAGCCAGAGGGAGGGGAGCTGGTGCATCCTGGGAGTCGCAGCCGCGGGGATTGTGGGAAATGTAGTTCGGCCACGCCGCCCTCCGCGCCTCCTGTAATGGCTGCTTCCTGGAAGGTAATGTGAGAATTCTCTCCAATGGGTCCTTAGGTTTCCCCAGTGTATTTGCACAGCGGGGCAGATCTACACCCTGCCGGGCCAAAGCAGGGATTCTTTTTTAAAAGTTTAATGTTAATTCCTGGAACGCACTTGTCTGTCGCTTCGATTTATTTTTAGTTTTTCCTGAATGGGCGAACTAACCAACCCTAAGTCTCCCACCCGTGCTTGAACAAACTATTTGCTCTAGCTTGTTCATTCTCTCTACGCTTTCCTCCCCCTTCCGTACAGCCTCCCTGCCCTGCGCTGACTGTAGCTGCCCCCTTAAAGTAATAATTTAATAATAAGAAGAAGAATGAGTAATTTTTAAATTTTCCCCATCTTCTTCTGATAATAGGCGCTGTCACGTGGAACCTCTTAGCCTCCGCATTCCGAACGCCAGGAAGGGGGTGTTTCAAGTCCCGTAGAGTTCCACAGATATCCATTCTTTGGTAAGTCTTCCTAATTCCCACAACGTCAGAGTTTTATGTTGTGTGACTTTTACCAGATTTGTCTGCATTTCCTGGATGGGAGAAAAAACCCTTTGAACATGTAATTTTTACTAACTAGGATATTTTAAATTTCCAAGTGAGTGTTTTGTGCATTTTCTGTTTGTCCTTAATTATGCTCTGCTGTCCAGTCAGTTCGGTGTTGGCATCTACAGTGTGGAGAATCGCTGGAGTCAGTTATCATAAGAAGGGGAGCTTAGCCTCAAGTGATCATCTTTAAGTATCTTTTACTTCCCTCTGTTTTTTTCGTGGGGAAATGAGAATATGTGTCTGAAATGTAAACTTGAAAGGTTATGTTTGTCACGTATTCATATTGTCGTTGAAAAGGGTAGGAATTTTAATGGTTCCTCTTTGTTTCCATGTTTAATTTCTAGAAACCTTCAGCTCTCAAGATCCAGCCATCTCAAGGCCCCAACATCATGACCTCGGTTTCAGCACAGCTGTTCATAGTCCTCCTTTCACTGCTCTTGGTGCTGCCTGCTGTTGAAGCAGTAGAAGCTGGAGATGCAATCGCTCTTTTCTTAGGTGTGGTTCTCTGCATTACAGGCATCTGTGCTTGTTTGGGAGTATATGCACGAAAGAGAAATGGAGAGGTGTGACTTTGAAGGGCCTCCTGAATCAAGCCTTGCCCTGAAAACATTTGAGCTATTCCCGTTAAAAACTGAGCTTTGGTGTCTGAAAGTTCCAAAGAAACAGTACATAGGGTAATTTTACATTCTTAAGTTTCCCTACAAATGGTAATAAATTGATATATGTTAAATGGAAAAAAAATTCTTTTTTACAACAAATAATGCAATGAAAAATGCAGTCTATAATTCACACAGTACATGTAACTAAACAAACAAACAAAAAAAAGGAAGTTGGGCTGCCTGCCAAAATGAAAGCCAAACTCGTGAGGCAGGTGCTGGTATAAAAGGAAAGAGGTTTTATTCAGGAGCCACAAGACTTGGGAGAATAGCAGACTCCTGTCTCAAAGACCAATCTCTCTTTCTGCTCAAGCCTGCCATTCTTATAAGGATAAGGAAGAGAGGGCTTTTTAAAAATTATTCAATTATTTTGCTAGCTTTTAGTGTGCTCAGGGCCCTATCCATTCATTTTTCTAGCTTGTTGCACGCTCAGGCTCTGTCCATTCATATTTCTATTTTTTGGCACGCTCAGTATAAGCCAATGGGGGAGACTCCCTGGTGCTCCACTGTCTAGGGCAGCGGTTCTCAATCTGTGGGTCGAGACCCCTTTGGCGGTCGAACGACCCTTTCACAGGGGTTGCCTAAGACCATCCTGCATATCAGATATTTGCATTATGATTCATAACAGTAGCAACATTACAGTTATGAAGTAGCAACAAAAATAATTTTATGGTTGGGTCACGACATGAGGAACTGTATTTAAAGGGCCAGAAGGTTGAGTCCGGTCTAAGCATATTATTCTTTTATTATTATAGATGGGCTAGAGATACAAATACCCCACAATATTGTGTCTGCACAACAAAGCACTATTATCCAAAAAATGCCAATACTGCTCATGCAACATTAGTACGTAAAAGAAACTGTTCAGGAACTGTAAGGAAAAAATACACAATTCAGGTCTTATACTAACTTTACTTACTTATTTATTTATCTATAAATTTATGGATTAGAGAGAGAGAGGAAGGGAGAGAGAGAGAAAAGAGAGAGAGAGACGAGAGAGAAATTTATCAAACCCACAACCTTGGTGTATTGGGACAATGCTCTAACTAACTGAGATATCTGATCAGGACCACCATTCATTCATTTATTCACAAAATACCTACAAAGTATCTATCATGGTAGGTACCATTCTAGTAGCTGGGAAGTCAGTATAATAAAACATGAACATTCCCTGCCCATCATAAAATTTTCACATTAGTTTATTTGCTTACCTGGTACACATATACACAAATACATACAAATTTCAGTCAATGATAGACACTACATGAAAAACTAAGGCAAGAAAGTAAATAGAGAATAATGGGAGAGATACATTTTGCAAGGCGCACAGGAAAGGAGATGACACTTGAGCAGAGCCCTACACGATGTTGAGAAAAACAGCCATGCAAAAGTCTGCAGAGAAAGTCTCACTGGCCGAGAGAACACAAGAGCAAAGTCAATAGGGAACAAGAGATTGGCATGTTCAAGGAACAGCAATAAAGTGTGATTGGAATGGGATGAGCATGGGTGAGCAGTGGGCTGACATCAGACAGGCAGGCAGAGGCCGGAATGTTTAGGGCTTTGTGGGCTTTGATAAGGAGTTTGGATTTCTGCTTATGTGATGGAACTAGAGAGGTTTAAGCACAGGAATAAATGATCCGATTTTTTAAAAAATCACTAGTTAGGGTAGTAAGAAGGCAAAACTGACAACTAGGATACCATAGTACTTGGGAAACAAGGCCAATAATAAAGCACACAAAAGTATATATAACAAGACCTTTGTTAAATTGCCTGATTGGGGTGGGTGCTGGTAAGGAGAATTTAGCCAATTTTATTTTAAAACTATGGGGCCCCAAATAATCCCTGTACAAACTTGTGCCACTCTTTTTTCAGATGGGCCAGGTCATCAATTGATTTCTTAATAATGTTTAAAAAGGGGGGT